AGCGAATCCCCCTACTCAAAGTGTTCCTGTTGTCCCTAAGGCTGTTGTACCTTCTCAGACATCGACTGGAACACCTCCTGTCCCCAACATTCCTGCAACAAGTATTCCAGCTCCAATCTGTTTGACCTCTGCAAGCCCTGAGCCAAAGATTCCCGAGCCAAAGATTCCTGAACCAGCCATCCCAACATCAATCATTCCCTCTCAAGCTGTTCCTAAATCAAAGCCAGAAAGCTCTATTTCAACTCTTCCTGACACTGAACCTCTTAAACCAAATATACATATGCTCAGTTTATCAGAAGTATTTCCTCCTCCTGAAGGAAGTCCACCTCCAGAATTCACTGATATTCCACCCCCTGTTTTTGATGAAGACTTTCCAGATGGAGACTTTTCTGAGCAAGCTATACCCACTCCAGCAATACGTACATCTTTCACCCCAGTTCCCACAAGTCCAGTTATCTCCAGGTCCCCTGCCCCATCCACCCCTCCAGCAGTATCTCCAGGGCCCTTGGTGAATCATTTAGAATATACACCTGGTCCAGTCTCAAGCCCTCCTCCAGAAGTTCATACTCCTACTGCACCTATAGACGTGTTACTGGAGAATACAAAACCTATTAACCCAGAGAGGTCTAAAGAGGACCAGTCCTCAACCAAGCCACTTTCAGCCCTCTCAGCCTTGGCAAGAGCAGAGGAGATGGCCTCTGTAAAAAGGTCACCACAGGATAGCCGTATATTTAACCTTCTGGAAAGGGCCAAGAGAAAGTCCACAGTGAGTCCACTGGGTACCACACCTGAAAATACATTTATACCTGAAAATACAACCCTAGTTGAGACAGCTACACCCGAGATACCTCTGCCTGAAACTCTCACACCTCTGCCTGAGACTGCCACAACTGAGGTGACCCAACCTAATCTAGCTCCACCTGAAAAAGCCTCACCACAACTTGCCACAACTTTAGAAACATTGCCTGAGGAAGCCCCACCTGTACCAGAAGTATTTGATATCCCTAACCTCCCTCCAGTTGACTATGTGGATCATACTCTGTTGCCACCTAAAACCCACCTACCTGAAACTGCTGAGGTTAATGGCTTTGATCACAGTAAGTATCTATTTAAAGCAGGGTTCACACTGTACAATCTTAGCCACGGTTTTGCTGTCTGAGATAAATTTCGTCCAAGATAGAAGGTTTCTCTTGTTTTAGGGCAGTCATGTATGAATAAGTGTGACATTTGCACAGATGGATGCTTAATTGACTTTGCAAAAGAGTCTCAGACGAAGTTCTGGCAGTTTCAGAAATGTTATGCAGTATTGCTCTTCCTAAGAGCACAAAATCTTAATCAGCTGTGGAAAACAGTGTTTAAATACCTTTTTTTGCCCTTGAGAAGTTAGGTGGATTCCATACTTCAGGGTTGGTATGCAAGATATGTAAGGCTATTGTAGCTATGTTGGGTAACATATCTTTCATAATCAGAATAACAAAAAATATTCTGTCTCAAGGAAATAGCTGTGAAACTGAGCCATTTTAGTTTTCAGTTCAACTAAATGCTAATTAGGCTTACATACAGTATATTCTCATAAGCAATTGTTGTAGCTAGACCATATTTCTCATAGTTTAGAAACATCTTTACAGAGAAAATAATTGCTTTCATTACAGCCTGAAATTGAAATGACCTCTACTGTCAATTATGTGGTATTAAATATGATTACATCCCCTAAAATTGTGAAAATACACAATTCACTCTCCTCACTATAGTCTTGTGTATTTGATTAGGCTTATAAGTATAAACATCATGCTTGCTCCATTTTCATTCCATAGTCCTGTGCTACCTGCTGTTTCCTTGACCTCGCCATTTTCATCGGCTTTGCAGACATAACTTTCTCAGTTCACGATCTATTCCTCATGCTTCTTCTTGAGGCGTATTATTTTAGTGTTTTTTTTTCTTACTACTTTCAGAATGAAATAAATGCATGCAAAAATTACACTTTCCTTTACAATAAAAATATCCAATGAACATCAACAAGATACATTTACTTAAGCAAAATTGCATTAGAAAGCAATACTATATTGAATTAAGTTTGGCACATTTTCTTGTTTTAAGTAAACACCTTTCTTTATTTTGATTCATTCTTAAAACGTTTTGGTCATTTCATAGATGCAGCTGTAGAGGTTCTGTTTATGTATGTCTTGGTGGTGGTGGTCCATGGTTGTCCATGCTAGTATTTATTGTCTTGTTTCTGCAGGGGTGGTTACAGTGGTCAAACCAGTGAATCCTCCTCCCCCGCCGCCCAGAAGGACTCCCATTGTGGATCCCCCACTTGAGAAACCAACTCAGTCTTCTGCCAGATACTTCCAGATTCCCACAATACCATCTGACTCTCTAGAAACACATGGTAACATAATTACTCCAAAAATCTGAAACTCTATGCCAAGTGTTTGTCCACTAAATAAATAAATGAAAATCTTTCTTCTTCAGAAGAGTCACTATACGACAACTCATTCGAGAGTTATGAAGATGTTGAGGAACCTGAGGCTCCAGCACTTTCATCCTTTAGGCCTCCATCAGTACCATCATCAGCTTCAAGTACCAAAAGGCCGGTTTCAGTTCATGAGGAAGCCTTCCTGAAACAGTTGAGGCCAAAACAACAGTTGAAAGATGATGTGTTTCCGAACATGGATAGAGATGTGGATTATGGGTCTATGAACTCTGGCTCTCCATATCCAGAAACTCAAACTGTAGTACATCAGGACTCAGTGCGAAGCTCACCTGCCTTGACTCCATCAGGGTAAGCCATTAAATTCATGATAATTCAGTATGGCTACAGAAAAAAAAAATGTATATATGTTATCGGTATTGAACACTGAGTGACATTTTTGTTTCTGACTTTCCTCCAGGACCCTTGAAAGAGGTGACAATGTCTTTGAAGATCAATCAGACAGTAAAAAAGGCAAAACAGCAAAGACTAAGAAACAGAAAGGGCCTCCAAAGAGTAAGTGGAAGAAGTCTTCACTAAAGTACTCCTTTTTTTCTTCTTGTTTTCCTCCGGTTCTTCAAAAAAAATTGTGTATGTGTATGTGAGTGAATATATATCATTAACACATTCATTAAAGATCAAATTTCCAAAAAATTTAACTTTTTTCAAATTATTTTGACATGAATACAATTTACAATATGATTTATGCTTAAAACAAGAAAAATAATTTGCCGTTTGATGTAAAATTCTCTGAAATCAGGTCTTTTATTCTTACATGATTTTGCTTCTCAAGTACATGATCATATTTGTTTAATGTTATTTAATGTTTAGATATTTAACTGGAAACCAGGACAAAAACAGGAATATTATTTATTTTATTTTTTTGCAGTGTAGTTATTTTTTGTTCCCAGTAATCTCATCTCTGATGACCTTCTGATTCACAAAAACGATAAACACACAGGAAATTGTCATGTCATTCGTTTATTTTAGATTCTACTTCTACTTCTATCTTCAAAGTATTCTACTCACTGACGTATGTTTCCTATTGTTTGAAACCTAGATCCATATGCTGATACACCGGCAGTGGTAAGTTTTACCGCTGTTGTTGTTTAAAATTGTTTTAGAATAACAGTTTAAGGTCTTACGGTTGGGTTGATGTCAGGACCTTATGATTGCAGCATTTGTAGCATTATCACCTATTTTTCATATCTTCTTATTGTATGTTCTGTATGTTGTCTTTTAATTCTAATCTATTAATCACCCCAACCTATTCAGGTGGAGGAGGCTCCCAAGAAAAGCTTGTTCGCCAGGTTTGTAGCAGCAATTTATTTTTAATTAGCAAATTCACAATATTAAACTGTGTCTACATTCCCGAAACATCTTATCTGAATGTAATGATGAAAGTCTTCGATCCCCAGGAAGAACTCAAGAAAAGTGGCAGATGACAAAGAATTAAAGAAAAAAGAGAAACAGCGAGAAAAGGAAAAAGAGAAAGAGAAGGAACGAGAAAAAAAGGAGCAGAAAGAAAAAGAAAAGAAAGAAAATGAAATGAGGAAAAAATTTAAGGTAATTTTTTTTTACATGTAAGTATTTGTGCTAGCACCAATAATTCTGCACGATTATTGCTTATTAAACTCTCAAAATCCAGTACTTATTACAATCCACATCCCACTCCTCAAGCAAATCAATAGGTGCACTTGCCATCACTAAAACCCAACAGTTTTAATAATCAAACATGAAATGAGCCGTACATTTATATTTCTCGTTAACAGCCAGGGTCCTTTTTTAATGCACATGGCAAGGTCAGTTAAGTGATGAGCACATGCTAATGTAACTGTCTGTGTGTGTTGATATTTAATGCAGATCACAGGCCAGGAAGAGCCCATTTATCATGTTAAAGTGATCGAGGACTGTAAGGGCCGTAAAAACGACCTACCGGTGAAGGTTGGAGACACCGTGAGCATCATCCGCACCAACAGCTGCCCTAAAGGAAAATGGCTGGCAAAGGACAGCAACAACAAATGTGAGCTAAACACACACAACAAATACACAGCCGACAAACACAGGAATTAATTTAGCGTCATTATGCGCATATCTTTGCTCTTGCAAAAGTCGCATATAATTAGCATCACGTTAAATTAGTTTAACAGATAAATGAGGTGCGGAAAATAAGCATTGCTATGAATTTACCCTGATAAGGACTAAATGCCTAAGTAGATCTGTCACTGAGCAAGCAACTGAACGAGTCCTTGAGCTTTGACTTATCTGTGTATGTAAGCGCTTATCTCATTTTTCTGATGCTTCCGCTGGAATGTAGATTGGCAATGTGCTGTGTGTTGTTTTTCAGACGGCTATGTTCCGGTGGAGGGTGTGGATTTGAACATCAATGGCATTATGGAGCTGGGGAAGATGACAACAGCATCTAACAGATCCAGAGGCAATGGACACAAGGACCCAGAGGCCACCAGTACAGGCAGCAGGTAGTCATAGAAAAACTAGGCTTGCAACAACCCGCTAAGCTAGCACTGAGTGCTAAAAAATTATTATTACAAATGGAAGAGTCATTTTTTTCCATCTGTGTTTTTAGGACCTCAGAGCATTATGGCATGAACCATGAGAGCTGTAAGTACCTTCTTTTTGTTTATTTTATTTATAATATGCGTTTTAACAAGTCATGACCACAGTAAGCAACATGATATTTTATTGATTACTTTCTGCTGTGTTGTACTAACTAGCCCCGCCCACTGTGAAATTTCATTGGCTTAAAATCCCGCCCCCACATTATGCATCAAATATTCTCTGATCCACTTTGGTTGTACCATAGTAACACTATGTTTTTTTGGACACTACTTTAATAGTAATAGCATCTTGAAGCACCATGGTATGTATTAGTGTCATGGGGCTGACGAGACGTGAGACGTGTGGATCCATCTGCAAGCTT